ACTTGGACTTCCGACGTAGCGTAAAGTGGCCCCGGACATGCGCGAAGATGCTTCCTATGGTCTGCCTGTGAGCATGCTTCCATGGTGACCATCCATTTCTCCCTTATAATGTTTGAACGGGCTCATGAAATCACTTAGGCCCGTCGAGATATTATTGATCTGAATAAGTCTTTCCCATGGCGGTCATTCTGTCTCTTTTTCAATATTTTCTTCTAGAGTAACAAATGCTTAAAAGCAATGCGTCAACTTCCATAGCCTCCCATCCTCACATATTGGACTCCCAAGGGGGGTGTCACAGTGCCAAAACGTTGACACAATATAACACTTACAACACTATATCACTATGATCAATATTAGTCCTGATCAAATGGTTCAGTCTTGTTCATAAGCAGTTGATCAAATGCGCCTAAGTGGCCACTACCCATGCGTACGTGACCAAAAAAAAATTCCGTCCCTAGTTCTACGTGTCTCTCAAGTACTTTCCATGCTCTCTGAATTGAATGCCTTTCGCGCACCATTCCTGTCCTCTCTGTGATATTCCTCTTGATTGCCTCCTTCTAGATTTTCTTGTTTACAAGTGCGTAATCGATGCAATCCTAGGAAGATGTATATGCAGAGAGTAATATACTCGGGTACAAGTGCCATCAAAGAGAATGCTGTCGCAGATCCGAAGAGAGGGCTCCACATGGAAGTCAAGATTCGATTTCCGCCAGCCTCAAACACGCTGATGATACCAAAGACCGTACGTAGGCTGAGAGCAGGAGACGTGATCAATGCCCACTTGAGGTACTGCGTACCTCATATTAGCACAAACTGGCAGGCAATCAAGGCAATTGGGAGGCAGTTGCGCACAATTATGTCATTTTCCTTGATGTTTTCTTGCCTGATATATAATGCGGAGCAAAGACCGACGAGGGTTATCAGTACACATGCGAATTGGATATAGGCGAATTTGGACAATGTCGACTGTGTGTGGGCGTATTCTGGTTGACCAGAAAGGCCTCCGCTCGCGCTCAGCAATCCAACTGCCCCAAGAATATTGTATCGAATAATGCTGACGAAGATCTTGGCTCGCTTATTACTTTTGAAGTTTGACTCCAGTCTAAAGTATGGCTATCAGAATGGATCAAGGCGAGTAGAGCAATTGGATGGCATTACTTACACTAGACGGACAATGCCGAGAAGAGACATGATTAGTGGGATGAGGCCGATATTGAGTAACACGATGGTTGCAATGATAAGACCACGGTTCCCTTGGTTTTGCTCCTCGACGATGATCAAGATGGCGCCCACCAGTCGTACTATAGTTTACTGGGTTAATTGTAGTTTGACCTGTTTGGATAGGATAAAGACTTACTCAACGAGAAGGGAACTGGAGGATACCAGGCCATCCGAGGCCCGTGTCTCCAGTTCCGAATACATAAGTACAAGGAAATAGGAGCCATCGGAACGTAGAAAACGAGCTGCGCAATAGCAGCGGCCGTGTGTGGATTCATCTGAGCGAGCGCTTATAATTTTTCAAAGATAAAGGGGTTGCAGGAAGGGACAGCTAAAGAGAGGAAGTAAGTGTTTAGCCTTGTAACTCAGAGACAAGTGAGCGTTATGAGTAGGTCTGTCTATGAATAAGAAAGCAACGTGCCCATGGTTGATTTATATGTGTGGCTACATGTCGTGGAGGGAGCAAGGGGTTCCTGTTCAGGATGCGGGTAGCACGAATTTGGCCAATCAGATGTCGCCCTGCTCTCGCGGATTCTGACCTGAAGCGGCATAGCGCCCTCATCATCTGGAGGCGCACTTGGCTTTTCTCTTCCTTCGCGAGATGCATTGCGCCTCAGTCTTAATTGAACGACAAACTGATTCCTAGACTACGTACCACCACCTTGAGACTGTTTGACTTTCTGCCTTGATGGGTATTGACACTTCAATTGATAGGGCGCGTCATCACTAGACCCCGGCCTGCATACTCTGATCTTCTCCGCAACTGGCATGATCCAGCGAATGCGGTTGTGCATTTGGTATTTGGCGCGACGAACGCGAAAACGAACGAGCTGCAGCCGCGCTGGATCCACGCTAGATGGGATCCCGCAATTGACCTGAGCGTTCCTTGGGCTTGCTGTGATGCCGGAGGCGCAAGGCGGAGCCGCTTCCTTCTATCATTGACATCCTCCCCTCTGTAAGGAAGATGGTGGGAGTCCCCGGTCGCTCAACAGCATGCCACACCTGCAGGCTTAGAAGAGTCAAAGTATGTACTGAAACATCCTTTTCTTGTTGTGTGTGTGTGTGATTCAAACTGATCCTGTGTCAAAGTGTGATGGCGAGCTTCCTGGTTGTCGCAATTGTGCAAAATCGAAGCGAACATGCACCGGCTACCACCGCAAGCATGCTTTCATCTTGTCTAAAGAAATGGCTGCTGAAAAGCTGGTGCTGTCGTCTGACCACTCCTCTTCCGCTGATGGTGCTGGCTCGGGTATGGTCATGGTGTCTCGCTGGAGAGCGAATCCCAGCGCGCTGTCCACTGTTTCATTATCCAAAGATAAGCTTCCGACGTCTGAGCCGCGAGCTCGCGCAGTTGTCTTACCGCGTGGCATTCCGTCTCGCAATGTGTTCAGAGAAAAACTCTTTTCTCTCTTTATAGAGTACGATTTCCCTGCCGGTGACGTTGTGAGGTTCACTTTTGGTGAGCGCAATGATTGGATGTCACATGTTATCAACCTCCCATCCTTGACACCTAGTCTTGAGCATGCTTTGCTCGCTGTATGCATGGCTCGATTAGGCCGGCATGCTGCCCTCCCTACGCTCGTTCACGAGAGCCTTAAATTGTACACTAAGGGTCTTTTGGAAATACGGCGGGACATATCGAATACTTCGGAGGCTAGAGGCGAACAAAGTCTTGCTGCCTGTCTCGCGCTACTTCTATACGAGATCACAGAGTGTCCAGGAGGAACGCCTGATGGTTATATGGCTCATTATCGGGGAACCATGAAGCTGCTTCAGGTGCGTGGGGCCGGAGCTCACACTTCTGGCCTTGCGCATAGTGTCTTTCAAATTCTTCGCATGCATGCGGTAGGTACTTAAGCTTATGTTCGTACGTTTGAACTTGGACTGACTTGGGTCATCAGATGTTCCAGGGCATCATCGAATTCAAGAACACATTCCTGGCCGATCCCGAATGGCGCAATATACCCTGGTCTAAAATACCAGGTAACAAAGCTCCCTTCGATCAGCTTGTCGATCTTCTTCTGGTACTTCCTAATTTGTCCGCCCAGCGGAAGTATCTAGGTAAGACTTCAGATCCCCATGAATTTCTCTCCCTCGCAGTGAATACCTTACACGAGGGTGAGAGGATGGAGGCTTCATTAGAGTCTTGGTATAATAATTTCAAGGCAACGGTACCTGGTCCTTTATACTACCCGGAACTGGCCAGAATCGATACCATCGTCGATGATATCGAGTTAGGCAAACTGTTCCCTGTAGCATTCTGCTTCCCTACGTTTCTCGTTGGTCAGAACCTTGTCTACTTCTGGGTCGCTATGATGAGTGTACATGCTCATCTATGCTTTACATATGAGATTATTGCAAGCTTCTTGACAACGCTGGATGCAATGGGACGAAGCAATCTTCCCTGTCTCTGCAATGTCCCGGATGCAATCCTCCCATGCCTGCAACACTTTAGCATGAGGACACTGCCACCTCTAGCTCATCGAGAGGAGTGGCCTCGCACGACGGCTTACAATATATGCCAATCAGTCGAACACTTCCTGCTCCGAAGGATGCGTGGATTCGGCCCTGCAAGCGTACTACCAGCCCTAGCATTAGTCAAGGGGTTCTGGAAGCATGCGCCAGGCGATTGGAGTAGAGAGATTGCATGGGTTGACGATATGTTGGGTCGCATCCGTTCAAGTGGTAGCAGCATCGCAGGAGCTCTTGAGGAGGGTTGACCTGTTTTTACAAACTTGTTTATCCTGTCACTTTTGGAGTTTCTGTGTTCAAAGGGTGGCTTATGGCTCAACTGAGCCCCAATCAGCCTTCTTTGAGTGTCAATGGGACCCAATGCCAATAGCTAGATCGGGCAAATCGGCTGTACATACTTCACTGAATGGTGATGGGGCCCAATACTAAGAGCTGGATGACGTAAATCGGCTGTAATGAGGAGATCGGGTAGAAAGTGAAGCATTCCAATGCATTGAGCCTCGAGTAAACAAAGTATTATATACCTCAAACCGGGCCTTAATTGGGGAGTACTATATACGCTGTGTAGAAAGGCTATCCGCGCTGTATCTTAACAAAAGGATATGGAATCATCGTAAGATAGGTAGGGTTAGTCACCGTTTCCTTGTATGAGGCCAATTGTATATTACCTACCTTATCATCATCAAATGTGAGTGGGTGGAATGAATACTATCGGCCCCTAATCGCCGTATCAACTACTAGGTCGGGTCCTGGTGGCGGAAATTTGCGAAGACGGAGATCATGATATCTTAGATGGACGGATCGCAAAGACCATTGATGCGGTCCCCACGGGGACTCTTCCACATGGGCAGTCCACTAATATCTTGGCGCGGTACTCAGCTCGCCACTTGTTGTAAAGTCGGAAATCAGCGATGGTCGGATTTTGGCGAGGATGACTCGACCACGGAACGAGCCTGCCATTGGCTAACTAAAATACGTCGAATCCACAACTTCACCACGCTTGCCCGAGTCGAGAGTAGTGGGACTTGGAACGATTGCCGTTCTTGTCAACGAAGTCCCGAATCATGAAGGCCTTCCATTGAAATCCCTTACCGGGTTCAACACACTAGGTATGCGTTCATTAAGACAGACTTTGGTATAGAAGTCCCGGCAATTATCAGAGATCGGTGGGGATTGCGATAAGCTCTTGCCTCCGATATATAACTGACCTGCAATTCGTCTTCCTCGAAATCTTTTGAGAGTCGACATTTGTGTTTGACAGACTTGGATCGACATTGCACCCCCCCGATTTTGTATAACTCAATCCCAACATGTCCGAGAAGATCGAATCGGGACTTGAGCGTCAGAGCACGCCCGACAGAAACTTGAAGACCGAGGTGTTGGAAGATGACGGAGAAGTCTTCAAAAGTCATACCGGCCAGGCCGAGTTTCGTGCTCTAGGATGGTACGTTTCCTAAGACCGGTTCACGTCGACATCTGGCATCTCTTGGTCAACTAGTTACTAAATCATTCATGGTAGGATCCGAGCAGCGATTATCCTGATGAAACTTTGCTTTGCAACAGGCGTGTTAGCAATTCCCTTTGCCCTCAACGTCGTAGGCTACGGACCGGGAATCATTCTTCTTGTTTGCTGGGGCGCTTTGACAACTTGTAAGTGAAACATGGCCTACAAATTGATACACGGTTATTAATATCTATCTTCAAACCAGATTACGCTTACATAATGTACGCATTCCGAATGAAGTATCGAGGTATCCATAACATTGCCGACGCTGCCGCAACATTTGGTGGTCCCATTGCACGAGAGATTGCAGGAGCCTTGTTTCTCCTAACTTGGGTGTAAGTAAATGATTGAGATGCTTTTCGCATTCTAGAAACCATCCATTGACCATCATGATTTAGACTGGCCGCAGGTTCGGGATTCATTGGGCTGGCGCAAGGATTCAAAGTTCTAGCCAACGGCCGAGTCTGCACAGTAGTCTGGACAATGATCGCAGCCATATGTACTGCTTTGGCTGCTAGCATTCAGACGCTGGGAAAGCTAGCAATCTTGACATGGATTGGCTTCGCCTCTATTTTTACGGCCGTTTTTATCGTCGTGTAAGTCCCAAACCACCTCTATGATCTGCATCCTCTTCGGAGACTCATCAGATATTCTCGTTAGTGTCGGCGTGACGCAGGTCGACCGGCCCGCCGCCGCACCACAGACAGGCTTTTACGATCTTGGAGTCGTTGCTGTGGGACATCCAGGCTTCGTTGCCGGCCTCACTGCTGCGATAAACCTCTTCGGTATGTTCAAAAGCTAGGCTACGACACGTTCATTGCTGATATCTGGATACAGCCGGTTATGGATCCACTCCCACTTTCATGCCAGTCATCGCGGAGATGAAAAGACCCAAGTCTTTCCCGAAGGCTTTATTCACATCTCAAGGTGCCCTGGCTGCTTGCTACCTTGCCTTTGGTCTGGTTGTGTATTTGTCAGTACACTTGACACTCCCGATACTATTTTGATATGTCATCTAACATGTCTTAGTTACTGTGGTCAATATGTCGCAACGCCGTCACTGGCGAGCGCCGGTGGAACTTTAGAAAAGGTGGCGTACGGTGTTTCCATTCCCGGCTTCATCATGACATCTACACTTTGGGTTCATCTTGCTGCCAAGTTTGTAAGTCGACGTTCTCCAAGCTCTTGTATGATTTCTAACAAGGCCAGCTCCTTGTACGCATCCTTAGAGACTCCAAGCATTTGCAGAGCAACAGCATTGTCCATTGGGGCACGTGGCTGTAAGTACATCGTCTGAATTCTTATGGTAGACGTGGAACTAAAACACACTTCAGAGGATCGACCCTAGGAATCACTGTGCTGTCTTTTATCATCGCTGAAGCAATTCCCTTCTTCAGCTACTTGATTGGTTTAATCGGATCACTGTGCTGCGCCCCGACTTGTGTAAGCTGACCTGCCTTGATCAGCATATACAACTGCTGATTTTCTTAACTTTTAGCTTGTAATTCCCGCTCTGATGGGCCTTTATATGGACAAGGGGATGCATGGTGTCAATGCTAAAAGCAAGGCTATTTGTGGCCTCCACATCTTCACGGTTGTCCTGGGCTCCTTCATCACTGTTGCTGGCACATATACCACGATCCAAAGCATCATTGACGCTTACAATTCTGGAGCTGTTGGTGGTGCTTTCACTTGCTCGTAACTGTGAGAGGAGGACATGTTCATTTGAATACTGGGGCCGGCATTACATTAATTGCATGCAGAACAGATAACTATAGACCGTCAAATGAAGGTGGTTAGGTGCCTCCTCGATTATAGTCATGAAACGCATATGATATTTTATCCATCCGCTCGTGCAGTGATATGCGAAACTAACCCTTAATTTGCCATAACGTCCAAATCCTCACCGTCTCGTCGAAGATACAAACGCTCTATGACGTCCGAGAAGCCTGTAGACAGGTTCAGTGGATCTGCTTCTAAATGAGCTAGCACCGCTAAGCAGCGTCTCTCAATCCCAATAACTTGTGAACGAGAACTTGCATAGCTTTTATCATCAGCTGACAAGCTCATGCCAATCGAAAATAACAGGTGAGCCACCGTCCAAGGAACAGGGTATATCGGACATGGCCAGTCTATTGTCGACATTGGCCTGATATTAAGCATAGCTTTTTGCTGCATTCGTGAGAGATTGTTGCAGGCTTTGATAATCTCGGAGTATCTGTAGATTCTTCCGTCATTGGGGATGCCAGGGAAGTAATCGATCAAAAGGGCTGTGTGATGGTACTGGAGTGCTGCCCAGTTCTCTACTAGACCAGCGTCGTTGGGAGGATCGCTATTTGCACCCATACCCATGATTTCTTCCCTTAATTCAAGCATCCAAGCGTCCAGTTCTCGTTGATAAACGTTATTTTCATCCACTGTGGGTGTTGAATGCTGTTGCGAGGTCGGCTCATAAAGCATCTTACTGTGTACTTGCAACTTCAAGAGCGATATGCGGTAGTAGTAAGCGGAAATGCGTTCCTCAGCGACCCCACTCACTGGTCGAGCAATGTTCTATCCGGCATTGTCAGCCTTCAAATTCACGAAATCTGGCCCCAATAACAGCTTACATCTCGAATTGTGTCACCAATGACAAGGAGGCTCGGTCGGCCTAGACTGATTGATATCTGGCTAGCGAAGACTGTCAGTTCAGGCTTGCTGATGCTGGAGGTTAGGCTTACCATTCCAAACAGTACAAGGTCCTAGTTAGTATGCACATCAAATCTTCATCAATGCCATCGTGTTCAGACGGACGATGCGACAAGTCGAAGTAGAAGCGGATGGCAAAGCCAAGATTCCGCCATATATCTCCGGAAGATGGGTTCAGGAGTAGATAGATGCAAATCAGAATCGTCCGTTGAAGTAAGAGAATTTGATTTGGTCCAATCCAACTGTGACGCGTTTGTTCTAGGTGTGATATAGCTTTCTCGAAGTAGACACTTGGTGTAAAAGGTAGCCCTATGTCCGACTTTCTCGCCACGTGGGAGCTAATAGCAAGGATTAAATAAAATAGATCGTGGTCCTGACCGAGCCTTGTGCAATCTTGGTCATTGTAAGCACTCTCTACAATTTCGTCGACATGCTGAGCTTTTAAAGTGGGATAGAATATGTTGATCGAGTTCGAGAAAATGCGGAAAAGAGAGAGCGCCATTTGGACAGGGGGAAACCCGGGGTCCAGTGACTGTGTAGTGAAGGTTGATCTACTCTGGAGGGTTGGTTCGGTCCATAATCCACTCCATCCGGCGCTTGTTGTAGGAGTGCGCCCCAAAGATGCGAGATTGCTCGATTGCCCAAAGAATAAATTGTCGTGAACGTTTGACTGATTCTCCTTTTGAAATTGTACTTCTGCACTAGCCCGAGAGGACGTAACTCGATAGTATGGAAGATAGAGCCCATTGTTTACGTCGTGCTTGGATGAAAATTGCTTTGATGGTGGATCGGATATTGAGGTTGGTACAGCTTGATTCTGTGCAAGGGATCGAATCCTCTGGTATAGATCGTGAATATGACTAAGGCAAGCATCCTGTTAGCTATATCTCCCGGTGGAGGCTAATCTGGCAATTCTAACCCGCGCGACACGTTCTTTTCAAGAGTCGCATCGTAGTAGAGACACTCTCGATCAGATCTGTTGCATGCCCCACAACGGGGAAATTGTCGATCACATTTTATGTGCTGCCCGCGACAGAAGCTACAGGCAGGAAGTGAATCAATCAGCGTTTCGACATCGGCGAGTGACAACAGGTTAACATCGGGCCTGATTAAGGAGGCTGTAGAGTCTATCACCTCGCTCATCGTTGTCTGTTCTCCTTGATTTGGATCAAGGTATACAAAAGAGTCATCACCGAGGAATTCGAAGCTGGTGTTGATAAACTCTTGCCATAGCTCGTCTGGTATTGGGGTCAAAGACGCCCACGGTGAGGGCTCAGAATGCACCATGTCTTCAGGTGTAGGTAAGATGACATTTCGGTGATACAGACTGTGAATTCTTCTTTGAGTGACCATGAAATCAAGTTCCGCTAACAGGTTGACATCGTAAGCTGACTGGCCTGAGCATTCTCCTGTTTCAACGCTTCGTAGAATGGTATTCTTGAGCTCTGTGACATAATGACTAGTATCGGTAGCGACAGGCCATCTTGTCGCCAGGGCATTCTAAAGCACAATGGAAAACGATTAAACGGGGATACTGTATCGGGCTGGACAAAGATGCTCACAAATAACAATATTAAAAGGTCAAGAGCTTGCCGCACATGTTCTCCCAGGTCCGAGTCTCTGACCATTGGGCCATGGTTTCTCAATGCGTACAGGAGAATCATGCCGGCTTGAAAGACGCTAAAGACGTACTGGAAGGTAGGCACCAGGTTACTTGCTTGAACGATATCCCATGAACTGTTAATGATCTGGATTGCTAGCGCAGACGCAGTATGAAGGGAAGATTCGGGCGGTACAATGATTCTTGAACAGGGTCGGTATAGCAGAAGCCGGCACTGGTTTGCCGCATTGGTAGACCATGCTGGTGACTCGCTGTGAGAAGTTGAGAGATCCTGCCAAGTTTGTATTGTGATTTCCATCTTTTGAAGCCAGTCAGCGTATTCGGGCGCGTCCTTGGGAAGCTCCTGGTCGAAGAATTGGATACCCAGGATCTCTGATTGGATTTGACAGAGATGTACGTGACTAAGGAATTGTGCCATTCTACCGTCCGGCCGGGATGTATCTAGGAAACTCGTGACAGAGCTCATGCGAATGTTAGACGGGAACTGTGTGCTTATGTGTTCGTCGCTGATGGCAAGGGGACATCCAGATGCGATGGACACGATCCTTTCGAGTTGGTATACCTATATACATTCACTTGTAAGCGTCCGCAGCATGTTTAACCGGGGCTCAGGGACGCACTGTCCAGAAAATGCTCCTGCGAAGGTTGATCTGAGCATGGTCCAGGTGCATATACGCCGCGGCTTCTTGGTGGAGTCCTAAAGCGATGGCCATTCGCATAGCCTCTCCACTCAAATACCAGAGGTTCGAGGTATATGGGAGCAGAAGGGCCATTTGTATCAAAAGAACCAGTCCCTGGAGCGACCTGAGATTGGTTTCAGCCAGGAATGAGTTGCGCCGCATAGCATCACGCTGGAGAGATTCGCTTAGAGAAGCAACTTTCCGGAAATCGTGGGCCTTTGAGGTGAGTGAGCTGATGGCGAGGATCATGCAAACAATGAACCAAGTGGTGTCAGAGGAGACGTGTTCGGGATTTGACCCATGTGGATAAAATTGGTTGAACTGATCTATGAGATCACTCTCCATAAAGCAGGGATATCTTGGGAACATGTTGTTCATATAATTATCGAAGAGGGTTTTGGCTACGTTGAAAGGAATGTTTAAAGAACCCATCCGAGGCAGACGAAACGATGAGCCTTGGCTGGCCATTCTGGGTGGATGTTCGTTGTAGATGCCATTCAGAGGAATTTTCAGCGGTGGACGTTCAGATGCGTAAAATAGTTTGGCCCCGTAGTAGATTCGGGAGGCACTCCTCAAGACGGAGCAAGAGTAGATCGAGCCGACTGCCGCGGTAGCAATTCGAAGAAGGGCGTCGTAATCTCTTCCAGCTTCATTATCCCGATCATAGATTGACTCTAATGAAAGATAATGGCTGTCGAACTGCCTACTAGCCGTCGAGCTCGAGGAGTGATGATGACTCTCGAGTTCCTCTAACCTACTCTCAAGATAGCGCACAGCACTTCTAGGGACCTCGGTCTTGCTGGAGCGGTTGATAGCGAGACATGCCGTTCCCGCCAGAGCACACCGCGAGCACGAGGGTATCTTCTTATCGCACTATGAAGTATTAGTGCGAATGTATTATAAATGACAGTCGTAATATGGGAAGATTGGTTGGCACTTTTTTCTTCATCAGATAGCATCTCGCACACGACAACGTCGGCCGGAGCCTGCTCGACCGATCCCGCTCACGATCCCGACGATCACGACGAGCAGGTACGCTCATGGCAAAAAAACAATCGTCGGTCTGTAGACGATGACGGAGTAGTCCATGGAGTACCACATCATTCCTTGCGTAGGTCAAAAAGCATGCACGAAAGAGGTGTGAGACTAAGTCGTTGGAGCGAGTCAGGCTCATGCATGGCAATCCATTGGGGCTCTACAAAAATCGGTGCCGCCGTGGGGCGCTCTGTTTTGAAGGTCGCTAAGCTCTACACAGTTAGGTGGCGACTACTGGGGAATGCAACCCCCGAACGGCATATTTACCCCCAGCCGTGGGCACTATGTCCCCTAGAGCTGCTCCCCTGATGAGGGACTCTTCTTGCAGGACATCCCGAGCGCTTGGAATATGTTGTGTTGGACCACTCTCATACACGTTCCGCCAGCAGCCCTCGGCGTCCTCGTCATAGACTTCCTTTCTAACCGCAAAGGTCCCATCTTGCCCCTGATGCAATCCCATATATATCCCGCCGATTCTACCGAGGAATGAAAGACCATCGCTGCTTTGGAGGATCCAGGCCGCGCTATCATTGGCATTTCCAAAATCCTGCGTAATATCTCGCCAGACCTCCTCGTAGGCAGTGGGTGTTCCATCCTTGACAAAGGTGCCCATCTCGAGATCATCGCCGTTCGGTAGCTCCGTGAATGCCGCCTCATCGGCCTGGCTGCTGCCAAACGAATCAATGATGCGTGTCCATCGATAAGTCACTGCGATGCAGGTCTCAACCGTTAGCCGGGTACATTAGAAAGAAGAGTTGGGCAGCGTCCGTACATGGATTTTGCTTAAGAGTGATCCTTTGGCCAGCCCGGCTCCACTGCAGTGAGCCGTCCGCTGTCGACACCCGCAGGTCCATGAAGAACCCTCCCACATTGAGTGCAATCGTCTCCGTGTCCTCAAAAGCCGCTTCAGGCAGCCAGCGGAGGCTGATTCGCCTCAAGACCTGAGGAGCATTGTCTTTTATCACCATCACGTACAGCGTCGGGAACTATTGTCCTGGATGTGGATGTATCGAATTTGAATTGGCCTTGGGGTAAATTATTCGAGGGTTTGGTAGGGAAGTACAGCGTCGGAAATTCGCGAGTCGTGACTCGCGTAACACCGACGACCCTCGGATACACTGATATCGACACTAAACTAGTCCGCTGGTACGAAGCCAGCCGCGCAATGATCTACAATTTTCCCACTTGGGAAAGATAATTATGGAATGCATCGGTTGATGTGTGAAAGTCATTTGCTGTTGCACTTAAGCACCTATACTCAGCGGCATTCAAGGGCAAAGGCGATCCCAATGGGGAATTGAGACGGGGTGTTCAATGTGCAAGCCACTGCCGCTGTAATTGCAGGAAGTAATCGCACCACGAATTGGCTTGGTCTCCCTGCCAGCAAACGCAGAATGTTCCTTGGCCAAGGGGGGAAAATAAGTGAGGTAAAAAAACATACCAAACCCCTGGGCTTCATCTGGATCAAGGAATCGTGTTCTTTTTTTTTTTTTTTCAATAGCGCTCGATACACGGAAGTAAATCTAATTGCCGACTTGTTCAGGTGTGTCAGACTGTGTTAGGGGTAGCCCTGAAGACTGAACGACTTCTCTACCATGGTAGTAAACGCCAATCATCAAGAGCCGCAGTACAAAACGAAGAGAATCATGATACGCATTAACGTCTCGAAGATTATGTTCGTACCAAAGCCCTACAATCTTCTATCAAGGGTGGAATTCCTCATTGAGAATTATTGTCGAACTAATGATCATTACCCTGGTAGAGGACTACCGCAAAGATCAAGTTGACATAGTAAACGAAGTATACTACCTACCACACTCCACATTTAAGATGCAAATGCTCCATGTCCGTGTTCTAAACATTGAAGAGATCGCCGTCGCCGCTCCTTTGGACCGTCATGCTGGCTTTTACTACCTAGTCACCAGCATCCGTAACATTGGTAAATTCACCCATTTCCAACCTTGTTTTCCAGAACAGTTGCCCGGTATCAGTGAACTCGTGGTGCACCCATGTGTTCTCTCGCACATGGTAAACATTCGCTGAACCTCCAGAATATGCGTCTCGATGGGTAGCAGCAAGAATGCTTCGACGGCCTAAGTCAAGGGCATCCGCCACGCTTAGGTCATATGTGTATTCCGCATCGAGCACACCATAGGCGTAGGTCTGTCCAGAACCAACACAGAACAGGTTGCCTGCCATTCGTGTGCCATCCGAATCAGTATAGTACAGTGCTGGTCCTTCCTCTTTGGTCACACCAGCACACATGGTACCCATACTCAGACCGGTGCCCTTGTATTCGAAGAGAAGGTTGGCTAGCATCTTGCTGGCGGCAGCAACCGGAATTCGACGGCCATTTCGTAATTCGTACAGGCGGCACTGCATACCCAGCCATGAAAACCAATATTGGCAGTCAGCAGCACCCCCAGCTAGAGTGCCCAACAGCCAAGAGTTGACCTCGATGACCTTTCTTACGGTTTGCGAGGCGATCCATTCACCAGAAGTAGAGCGAGAGTCTGTTGCAACAATGATACCATCACGGAAGCAGAAGGCGAGTGTTGTTGTACCATGTGCAATCTTGATAGGACAATCGGAGTTGGACCTGTCTGTCACAAAGCGGAGCCAAGCTGAAGGCTTACGTGGATAAGGTCAGTTATGAATTGCAAGAGGAGAGAAGTAAAACAAGCCAATACCTGTGATATCGGCGGTAACGCAAACCTCAGATTTGAGACAACTTCGCTGGGCTCAATTGTATTGTCTGCAACAAGGTGGCTCTTTTGGGAAACAAGTGACCTATTGTATTTCGCAACGATGATATCCATGACGGTTATGTGTGATTTTCGTGATATCTTTACAAAGTTAAACATGTGAAAGTAAATCCTTTGTTTCCGAAGGAAGACATATCGTTGTAATGGTAAAAGGTAACTGGGCGCTTACGTCCTCCAGGTCCACCGCGTAAGTGTGGCGGCTGCCTCGCTGAACAACCACCTTAGTACCAGAAAACCGATAATGTCAAATCCCCGGGTCCAACCAGGTTAATTAATGGAAGAGTCGTCAGGCATCACACACATCTACCTCCTTGTGCTAGTGGCCCATGTATGCCTAGGCTTCCTTGTCTTGAGTGGAGCTGGTTTCCCTTCCAAGAACCCCAGGTTATACTTCTGGTGGCTAATTGATCGTAAGAGAATTCGACACTTCATACAATGCGCATCCGTAAATTTGGTACAACTTGCCTAAGGACGAGAGTGAAGCTGAGTCACATGTGCCCTCATGTGGCCAAGTAGGGTCCTTAGGGCTCGCTCGGTATTGCTGTTGCCTTTCCTCATTGTGCCAGCCCCACAACTAATTAATCAGCTTTGATCCAACGAAGACTCTTCCTTCCTTGTCGTAACGACATTATTCTGTTGCATCCGCTTCAACATTTCAGCTGCTTCGAAAGCATACTTGCACTTCATCCTCAAAACCCGGCCATAACGATGCATTACCAAAGGAAAAGGCATGCATGCTAGTGTCAAGAAGGCGGGTACTGAAGTTGCCCAGTGAATGCCGAGGGTGTGATACATTTGGGTGGTAAATAGCGGAAATACGGCGCCGACGACTGATCGGAAGATGGCTGCGGCTGCAAGGACTGACGCCGCGTAGATCGTGTATGAGTCGATAAGATAGTTGACCAAAGGGAGGATAACAAGAACGCAGCCGAAGCCAAAAGGTGCAGAAAGTATGATGCTGATGGACCAGTGAATAGTCGGGTAATTGGTCCATCCAAACGCAAACATGCCAATTGGTAAGGCGAATGCACCAAGAATGGCTGGCGGTAACCGAGATTCGGCAGTCGCTGCGCCAGATGTAAACAGCTTCATATAACGATGACTGTTGTCGTAAATGGCGTAAGCCACACCCAGGATGGTGCCAACAGCAATTCCCATGAATGCGAGGCCTCCAGTTCCCTCGCTCCATCCTCGCTCTTCATTATAAACGATAGGCATGGCGCCCATAAACATGTAGACAGTACCATATATGAGAGCCATGTAGAGCGAAGCCACCAAGACAATAGGTTCCCGGAACAGAAGGACCCAGGGCCTACTCAAGGCTCTCCCAAATATTTCAGATGGCTTCTTTTTTCCATGGCTTTTTTCCATAACACTGATGTAAACCTTCCCCTCAGCCTTGCATAGTTTCTTTGCCTTGTTTCCCAACAAGACCGGACCGTACGTCTCAGGCACAAAAGCGACACCAAGAATACCAATTACCCCTATGATTATACAGCAAACCCCTTGGACCCACCTCCACCCAACATTTTCGGAAACGAAGCCGCCAACGACGGGGCCAAGGATGGGACCGAGAAAGGGGGCAACACAGTAGAGGGTCAGCGCGAGCCCTCTTTGAGCTGGAGGGAAGAGATCCGCAATAGTACCACCGGAGTTTACGAGTGGAGACCCGCCAAAAGTACCGGCAAGGAATCGCAGAATAAGTAGTGTAGTGACATTTTGGCTTCCCGCAGAACCTCCAATGAAGGCGACCATAGCGAGATGGCTCACGATCCATAGAATTCGGCGGCCATATAATTCGGATCTGTAAATATCGTCAGGCTAGATAATCCATGAACATTGGGCAGTAAATAAGCCTACTGATACGAGCTGCTTGTGAGCGTGGGTCTGTACCATCGAAGTAGAAAGGCTCACTTACCAAAGGACCCCATACGGCTGGACCAATTGCGAAGCCGAGAACAAAGAGCGAGACACCAACATTGAAGACTTCAGTGCTAATGTTGAATGCTTGAATGATTTCGTTGGAAGACTCGGAGTATGCTGATGAAGTGAATGTGATAGCAAAAACAGATAGGGTTACTATTGTTGTGATGAACCATTTCCTTCCCCGAGACCAATTCATGGGGTTCCTGGGATCATCTTTAACAAATTCGACGAGAAAAGGGTTGGAAAGATTTCCTCGGCTAGTATAGATATGTGGCTGCTCAAGCTCACTAGATCCAGGCATGGTCTCGGGCTCGACTTGTAAAGTCATTGCTTCGAAAAATTGATTCACTTAACGCGGATGCAAAGGAAATAATAGAGCATTTTGATCTGTGGCTTTGTGAGGTTCATCTTCGTTCTTAAATAATTTCAATGATCATTGGCTCATAACATTCGCATACGACATGAAAGAAACGGAAAGGCATCGCATTGGCTGGAATTTCGAGATCAGATAATTGCGCTTCAATAGCTTACTCTGTATAAGTCCCCTGTAGTCTGCGGATTTGTCACCCATCAGATGGCTCTCCACCAAATTATGCACAGTGGCCAATCAATGTCTTTACCGCAAGCGGAGCGCGACTTGATTGGTCTAGAGACCTGTATTCCTCGATGCCTCCGTCATTGACCTGCTCAAATATTTTCTGCGGACTTGACATTCTTGATACCTCATCTCCTCGTTCAAGTGTTAGGCTGCCAGAAGTCCCCATGCTAGACTTGGGAAGATGGAATCCCTCTATGAACCGAAGCGAAACAAAACTACCCAGCCATTACGTAGGCAGCGCTTGAGGGTTCCCAATGCCTGCCAAGCCTGTCGCACAAGGAAGGTCAAATGTGATGGTAATCTCGCCGGTATTTTTCCCCCCCTATCAGAAGCCTTTTAGCGGAGTAATATGTATGAGACTGACGGACTTTGCATCTTCAGCATGTGCCAAAAGGTCACGAAGAATGGCAGATATATCTAGCCGAGATCCCTCTACCCCAACTCCATCTATCAAGCGCAAGGCTATAATTGATCGCACACCTATGATTCGCATCCAGAGCACTGGGCCAGTCTCACCTCCAATCTCGCGGGATCATTCTCTGGAAGCGATACCCGAGTTGACGACATTGAAACTGTCAAAGGTTGAACAGCCTCCGGGCCTTTCGGATGGCCCCAACCCAGATCAAAATCGCGCCTACTACGCCGCTCATGGGCGATTCGCTGGTGACGTAGCGGCAGCAATTGATGTAAGAGCAGGATTCGGCCCTAGTACTACTCCAATGGTCATCCCTTTGGTAGATGCACCTTTGTTCGAAGAGATAGACTTGCATGAGCCATCTTATATAGCCGTGGCTGATGACTTGCCACCTCGTGCATATGCTGATGAACTCATATGTACGTATTGGGACTACATCGACTCCTCTGAGGCGGTTCTGGATCGAGAATCGTTTACTCGCGACTATGAGGCATCCTACGCTGGCTCCCTTACGAAATTGAACTCGAGTCGTGATGTTTGGTTCAGCATACTTAACGTTATCTTTGCCCTGGCAGTGCAAAGACAAGAATTTGTGTCTTTAGAAAGCCGAAATGAAGAGGGGCATTGCTATTTTCGGCGAGCATGGGCGCTCCTTCGTCCTGCGACCATACTTTGGGAACCTGGGTCACTCGAAATGATACAATGTTTAATGCTATTCAACCGTTACCTCCACTGTACCAATAATCAAGAAAAGACGTGGATGACTGCAGGTTTGGCAATGCGAATGGCTCAGAACATCTGCTGTCATTCATCAGAGGAGACCTGCAGTGACTCACAGCTCAAACAAAAGGTTTGGGCCAGCTGCCTTGCTTTAGATCGGTAAGCATTGGCGCAGCGATATTTGTCACTGCGATCATCACTAACTTTTCCCAAGATGTGTCTCCTGGTCTCTTGGAAAGACTTTAGCACCATCTATAATCTCATTATCTAGCAAAGCAAATCCAATGTCAGTAGGCATTACAAGTCAGAATGCTAGGCATGATGAGCAATTCATATGGAAGTTGGAGCTGCATGAAATTGGCAATCAGATTCAATTGGCACAGATGCAAAGCCGAAATAGTCTAGCTGCAAAGCTAGGCCTTCCACGTCGCCATCAGCATGATGAGTATTACACGGTAACCGTACACCTCGATGGCTGCCTTAACAAATGGCAGAGCAATCTTCCTAATGACTGGAAGCTGGAGAATATTAAGGAAGCACCTACTAGGAAGTCACGGGCTGAACGTTACACACTACATATTCGGCAAGTAAATAAGATCTTTGTTGCGTTGCTCTCACGAGTTCGATTGTCTCTCCTTATCAACATGATTTCTGATATTATTGGCGTAGTCTTGTCCTCCATCGAGTCTTCTTGTACAAACCAATGCTTGCGAGTTTTTACTCCATCCGATCCCGTTCTTCAACGGCGCAGGCACCCACGACTTCTAGTCTAAGTGACCGAGTCCTAAGGGAATGTGCAGGGATGTGCGTTGAGGCAGCACAGAGCCTCACATCATTGATTATTGAGTCGCTCGAACCCGACCAGTCAATTGGACTCATACCATGGTGGTATCGGATTTTTTATTTGCACATTGCAGGGACAACCTTTCTCGCGGCAATGTTTGGGCCAGAGTTGTTTACTGAATCAGTATCGCAATCATGGAACGATACCATCTCAGCCCTCCGCGCACACGAGCATCTGAGCAGGTATGTTCAACAGTGCATTCGGACTTTTGAATGTCTCTCGACAAAGATCCTCGAAACGCGATTGCCAAAACGAGATAGCTCTTTTGAGATACCGCTAGATGTACATGACGAATTTTGTCTTGATAATATCTTCCCGGATGAGGGTCTCAACTTTGACAATTTCCTTTTTGGGGTGGATGACATTGTCAAACTTTAGCACGTTACAAGCAATCTAGTTCAAATTAGCCTGCTGGGAATTTGTTGCTCTTGAAGAGGGTCGACCAGGTTTGCATGTATTACGAGTGCTATGTCCTGGGGCGACTCTGTCAACTACTACAGCTATCATTCTGCAACTGTACTTTGAGCATCCTCCAGCTTCTTAGACAACTCTAAATCATGCTTAAGACTCTCAATCTTCTTGGTGACCACATCAACCGCATCACCACCAATCATCACTCGAAGAACCTTATTCTTCACCTCCGCGGCATTTTCTGCTCCAGTAATGACCTCAAATAGTCGCTCGATGCCTTTGATGGGGTCACCTGGCTGCTTTCTATCCCACTGGCTGAGGTTGTTGAAATGCTTTTCTCCGATAGACCCTTCATATCCGGAGGGAATGCCTTTCGTGGGAGAAGCGAAAGCGTCTTTGCCCAAAAAGTTTGTCCTGAAGGCACCGAATTCGGGCAAAAGCCACTTGATACCAAATTCAGATGTCTCCTCAGAGAGGGACTCTGTCAGTCCTTCAAGTGCAAATTTGCTCGACGCGTACAAGCCACCTGCCGGCCCACCATATTGCCCTTCATAGCTACTCATATTTACGACCATGCCAGACTTTCGGCTCCTCATACTTGGCAACACACCCTGGATAACGTACAGTGGACCAAAAACATTCGTCTTATACTGCGTGACAATATCCGTGTCTCTAACGTGATCTAGTTAGCTGTAGGAAGCTTAAAAACAACAGGTATGCTTACGAGAAGCCTTCCATAACACCAAGAGCGGCATAAGCTGCGTTGTTGACAAGGATATCGATCTGGCCATATATACGAACGGCAGATTCCATTTTACTGATGATAACGTGCTGTGATTCGGTTGTATCGAGCTCTATGATTTTTGAGCCCTGGGTTTCGAGTTCCTGAACCGCTTGAGCTGATTTGGTCCGATTACGAACAGTGCCAATCACACGATGACCGGCTTGCAGAACGCGACGAGCCAAGATTTGGCCGAAGCCATTTGAAACACCAGTAATAAGCCACACTGGTGAAGACATTCTGGACAGAAGATGAGGGACTGCAGCAGAGGCAAATTGCGATGTACTTGAGGTGTGAGTTTGTGAGTTTGTAAAGCAATAGATACAGCGCCAGGTCGTAACATGTCACCATCTATATACTCATGAGACTGTCCAAGAGACACACCGAGACAGATTAATTCAACGATCGGATTTAATGGCGGCGTTTGGCACCTCAATACCACATGCATTGTAGAACAGAGTTTTGCGTCTCTTGATCATTTCATCTTTCCAATTTGATGGTGCTTGGCCCGGAAACATTTCAGGCCATATTGGCTTAGTGGTGGGCAAGTGGACAGTAGCCGTCCTGGGTCGACCAATGGGATGCTACATCACCCGAACGCTGCTTGAAATTCCCGAACACTTTCGGACACTGGATGCGGGCACCACGTTTGACGTAAATACTTCCTTCTTCGGCGATTAGAGCCACCCGCATCGGGTTTAATGAGATGGTTCGGTCTTTTGTCCTGCAATCAAATCAACATATCACGGTAGGGTAAGCGTGCGACGCAAAGGCGAACACCCATGATATATTATAGAGCCGCCTGTACTGTAAAGAATTCCGCCAATAGATTACTATAGCAGCGTAATCATCACCGCTCCACTTGCCTCGACCTTGACTGAAAACTCTCCATCTTTAGCTTTGACAACTTTGGCATCATCCTTTACCCTTGATGGTTTACCTAGGGTCTCATACGAATAAGATACACCGTCAATTGTAATGCCTGTAGTTTCGTGCGCATTTGGTGCCCAGAGCTTGGCTATACGTGCCTGGGTATACCCTTCTGGTGCTGGGAACCGGAATGTTGTTACTGGGCGACACTCGATATGTCCGTCATCTGTCTTTGTGGCATTGTACTCCTTCATATTGAGGAATACAATTCGCGCCAGTTTGTCGTCATCATAGGCGGCATACGCTACATTGACATGGTCATCGAGAGGAAAATTGGCAACCCGCGTTTTGCCTGACGATCCAATAAAGCGCGACACGAAAAGGTTGCCATAGTATGGTGGACGTACGTGAGGTGCAGTGTCATTGACCTGGACAGGCAGCCATGAAGCATACCGGTATGAAGTTCCTTGATGCATGTGGACACGGCGAACATTCTGCTTACTCCATTCAGAAAGGACAAGTCTAGTGCTGTGTATCATACTTACGTTGCTTGCCATGTATAGAGCGAAGTCGACGTTCCAGAGGGTCGCACCGAACACATCAGAGACGGAAACTGCTCCTTGGCCATATATGCTATTGCATTCTCCAAGAACGTAGAATCGGCCCCCATCACGCATGCGTTTGCCGAAATCAAGCGGCCAGTAAGCAGCCTTGATGAGAGTCGAGTGATTCATCAGCGTTGCTGAGCAGAGGCATTTGTTGTGAGCTAGTAAATCCTTTGGTTCTTGCTTATTTATGATGAACTTACATTGTAGCTGGGGTTTGTTTTGGGCCCCGGTTATGTACCTGAAGGACCATTAGCTATTCAGTGTACCATCAATATGTTACCTTAAAAGGCGTGTACATGTGATGAGAGATCTCGCTTATCCACCCATCTCGATCCATGTCCAAGTCGTTCGGGTCAAGCATACGGTAAGGGCTAAAGTCAGCATTGAGGCCCGATAGAGATGGAGCCATGAATCGCAACTCATTGCCATGTTCCTCGTTAATTACCTTAGTGCGGTTCACCCATTCCCTGACAAAATCATCCACGGTCCAATTTGCTGGACGGAGTCTTTGGCTGACGTCCCCATCATTTTCATTGCCTATTTCCCAGTGATGTATTTTGTCATGTTTTACTTGTTTGAAGGTCTCGTTCACACAGGAACGCAAGTTATAGATATAGTCAGAGCCGTTTTTGACAAAGTTCAAATCGAATACAAACTGTGCAGTCTCTTGAAGCTGACTTAACGACTGCCAATATGCAGGGCCAATAGTCATATTTCTGGGCTGATCACGATTGTAAGAATAGTCCCAATTAGACACCAAGGCTTCTAGCTGGCTTGCCACGAAGTGGCTCCTCTCTCTAAAGTTCATCAGGACACGGATCTTCCCAAGTGAGGCGTATCTGGGAATACGTACGCCGTAGCACCACCTATTCTAACAATAGGCAGCTCCCCGGTTTCTTTAGCTAGATTGCTTACGAGATTCTTGGTGAAGGGATTTGGGTTCGTATTATTGCCTAGGTAAGAGATAATTTTAGTGTATGCCAATGAAAGTACCACGCGATTTAGGCAATCGCAGACCTCCAAAATCAGGGAAACTGGACGACTCAATCGATAACGAGAGGAAATTCTTTGGGATCACGTCCGATGCATTGACAGGTGGAATTGCTTCGATCGGTACGTTGAAATCCAAGGCCAGGATGAGAGAGGCGTGGACAAGGACTTTACAAAGAAATGACATCCTGTGTATGGATTTATTGGTATCGACTATACTTGCTTATCATTCGCTTCCTTTGCTTGTTCTTGCCTTCTTACGAGAGAACTACAAGACTCCCGGAATGACTATGTGCGGAGCTTAAGATAAGCACAGATCAATATTTATATCCATATATCACATTTCAGCTTCCAGCAGAGCTTGCTTTCCGCCACATCTAGTCTTCCCGGCATTGTCGACGCTGCACTATGCCGATTATTCACTGCGAAATTACGGAAACGCCTGAGAGTCCCTAGTCGTCAAAAGAGTAAGAATGCGGGGTCCCCGCATTGTCACATTACCTTCCCACCTTGGTAGTGATCACAGCAGGTGTTCGGGATAATGAAGAGCGGTCATCTGTTGACTACTTTATTCTTAGGGAAACAACTAAACAAGAGGCTACCGTCTAAGATACGGCGGCTAAGATTCGCAGGAGCCAGGGCTCCACAGAAATGCCAAACTAAATAGCACAATATCACACGTGTAATGAAGCCCCTGCACTTGATAATCGTAGCGAACCGAGAAGAGCTATCATCGCCTACTTTAACGCCCTCGAATATGTGCACACTTGTACCTATGAAGACGATTGGTGCATAATATGACAGGCCAAAACAGTTAGTGGTGACGCGGGGAACTTGGCCGCAGGCCAACACGCATTTGCTTGGCCGCGGGGCGTTTCGAAGCTAGGGGGTGTTGCACATGCAGATCACAGGTCTAAGACAGATGAGATTTAGTGCAGCATAGGATAAGAACCATCAGCCGGTTGTTATTTGAGTATTCAAGAAGCATGCTTGCGTGGCTGCGAATCATAGCACTGTCGGGCAGTTTGAATAGAGGACTTTGCAATCACAAGAAATCGCAAGCACTCAAGCTAGCACTGCTACTTGCGCCCAACTTTACTTTCTTCAACATGGCCACGGTAACGCAGACACTGCTTCGAAGGGAGATGCCGTATGTTATTGATCCTCAAGACCCTATCACACAGACCATGCTTGTCCGCGACAGACACTCTGCCGTCAGATCCTAACTTGTATACTAGCTGTGCCCTCCTCGAGGAAAGATTTTCGTTGCTGAAGAAATCTATCATTAAGCCTGAAAATAAGGAGCGAGTCATCGAGTCCTATCATAGACTTACGCAGGCTCTAGAAACCGAAAGCGAACGTATTGCCAAACTTGGACCAAAAGCAATTCCTGAAATCAACTTCACGGATATCGAAGAAAACGGCGGCCAGCTTCCTGAAAGCATCGAGTCTGATGTCAGATCAACAGGCTGTCTTATAATTCGAGGTGTTGTGAGCGAAGAACAAGCATCTCAGTGGGAAAAGGAACTGAAGGACTATGTCAAGTCACATCCCGGCGTAGGGGGCTACCCAACACATGATCCACAAAACTTTAGTCTCTTCTGGACAAAACCACAAGTGCAAATTCGCAGTCATAATAACGTGCTGAAGGCAATGAATGCGATATCACAGCTCTGGCATGTCTCAGACGAGAACATTCCGTTCGACTTGTCTTCACAAGTTGCATATGCAGATCGTTTTCGCATTAGGCATCCTACAAAGAGTAAGCACCAACACAAACCAATGCATGCTCTAACTAATAAAACATCTTGTTAGACGAAGAATATACTTTGAAAGCCCATCAAGACAGTGGCGCCATCGAGCGATGGGAAGACCCCTTATACCGAGCATGTTACCAAACAATTTTCGATGGCAAGTGGGAAGACTACGACGCTTGGAACGCCGACTTCAGATCTGAGGCAAAGACTTGTCTCTACTCTGACAAGTCATGCACGGCATTTCGTTCCTTACAGGGCTGGATCAGTCTCTCGCATACAAATACAGGAGAGGGGACTCTTCGCCTCCTACCCGAGCTGAAGATGTCCACCACTTATCAACTACTTCGACCCTACTTCATTCTAGACGAGGAGTTCGACGACATAACGCCACTTTTCCCAGGGGCTGATCCTGGTAAGATTCAATTTCTGCCAACACCAGAGCTCCATCCGCACTTGAGGTTGGAAAAGGCTACAGTAGGAATACCGCCAGTCAAGCCAGGTGACTACGTCTTCTGGCACTGCGACGTTGTCCACGAAGTCGACCGATTCCACCCTGGTGATCTGGATTCATCTGTTAGCTATAATCCTTGCATTCCTCTATGTCCCTACAATCTGGACAGCCTTGTACATCTGCGTCAGGCGTTTCTAGATGCTGTGCCGCCGCGTGACTTCATCAAATATCAGCATGGCGATTTTGAGAATACACATCCTGACCATGGTGCTCGTAAAGAGAACATTCTTTCAGAAGAAGGTCTTCGAGCAATGGGGTTCATCCCATTCGATGAGAATGAGGAGGGTCTGACAGCGGGACAAAAGAATATTCGAAAGCAAGCCAATTTTCGGCTCGGGTTTACGACTGCTTGAGATTACTAGACAAACATACAATGCCGTGGTACGAAAGCAACTTTCAGCCTTCTAAACTTTTCAATCAGATTTTCTCTTGTATCATCTCTGCAAACTTGTGTATCATGTCGTCAAAATATTTCTCACGGTGTACTACCTCAAGTTAGAGTAAATAAAATGTTAGGTTAGACTATCTTCCGTCGCTATTGTTTCAATTCTACCAACCCTTCCAAGACATCAAGTTGCCACGCCAGCCAGCCCAAGAGGCCGCTCGTTCCTGTCTTCCTACAATATCTTCCAATTGAGAAAATAAGTCGAACCAAATACTTACTTATTTCCAATTCTCGTCGTATCATCTTAAGGCTTATTATCTTTGGATCGGCCCTCTGGTTCCGGCCATGCCTCGTGAGTGGTGACTTCTAGGCCACCCTGCGTGACGCCTTTGGTGATATGCAAGTGAGGATCCGCATTGATGTTTGAGATCTCTGTAATCTGAGCACCAATGCCGGTTGCATGATATGAGCGGAAGCTGCGGGCAGGGACATTGTTTTGGAACAGTTCGTCCAGTTCTTCCAAACTGCGTCCTTTCATCTCAGGTACGATGAAGAAGACCCAGAAAACGGCAATGAGGGAGAAACTGCCATAGATGAACCCCACCTTAGCTCCAAGATTACCGGGTTCATTCTGGACAAACGGGTTGATGTAGCTAACCAGGAGCACACAGATAAAACTAATAGTTGTTGCAATACTAAGAGTCTTTTCTCGCAGTTGAGCGGTGGCAGCTTCGGCCGTAGTAATCCAGACGCAAGAACCCCAACCCGCAGTAGACATCATTGCCCAGATAAGTTGGAGAGCCAGCAGGCCCTGGGCAACAGCACCTCCATGAATACCGCCGGGCCACCAGGCCGAGATGCCAGATGTGATCCAGAGTCCAGCCCACATGACAGCAGCAGTTCCAATGAAGAGGGGCCGGCGGCCGATTTTGTCGGGGAGATAGAAACCCATTGTGGCGCCAGCTAGACCCATACATGTTCTAGCAAGCGATGATACGAACACGTTGGTGATTCCAGCTTGCTGCAGAAATATGACCGCGTATGAGCTCATGAAGGCATTACCAGACAGTTGTTGCAGGACCTGAACGCTGGTGGCTATCAGGGTCCTTCGGCCGTTTGTCCCCTTGAAGCAGTCCCAGTATGTAGTGACGTGATGAAACTCTTCTTGTTCTGCAACAGCAGCCTCAGTCAATTTCATCTCTTCATCGACTTCGGCCTCCGTTGCGGCACCCCGTCGGATGTACATGAGCGACTTCTTAGCATCATCATGACGACCCTTGGAAATGAGCCACTTGGGGGATTCGGGGAGAATCCAGTAAATGCCTAGCAGGAGGCAGGGAACAATGATCTGCACGACCATGACTAGGAGGATTAACGACCGTTTCCGAAATATGCTGCATTTGGGGGAGAAAACATACCGAGTCGCCAACCCCATTGGCTGTCTGGCCAGATTTTGTTGGATTGCAGAACAACAATGTGTGCTAATATAACCCCGACGATTTGCCACCACTGATAAAAGCTGATCACGTATTAGCGCCATGCTTGGCTGCCCTGGGGAAGGAAGGCATACTTGATCAAGGATCCTCGAATAGCTGGAGGGCTCAGTTCTGACATGAATATGGGGATATTGTTTGCTTCGAGACCCTATCAACAAGGTTAGTGTTGGTGTTTTAGTGGTGAGCAGAAAGCATGATTACCATCGAGACAGCATTGACCATACGGCCTACCATGATTCCCCAGTAGCTTGGTATGGCGTTTTGCATAATCATACCGATGAAGGCGAGAACAAGAATTGCGAGAACAGTGTTCTTTCGACCGACTCTAGAAATAAAAGGTCCGGCAATCATGCAACCGATAGCCATGCCAGCGTTTCCAGTTCCTGATCCAGCAGAGATCCATGTGGAAGGAAGAACCTTCTTGCCCTTCTCTTCATTCCACACCCCAAATGAGTCAGCAAATTGCTGCTGGGCGAGGACGCTGGACCACCACCCATTATCAAATCCAAAGTTCTTGGTTTGTTAGAGATTGAACGCGAGGACTAGACTTGTCAGGATTATGATACTTACAACAGCACCAATCTATAAGTCGAGTCATTTGTTAACTGTTGAAATTCAAGATCGCGTCCGTCCAGGGGTCCACTCACAGACATGAATGTATAAACCAGAAATAGTCGAGGAGTCAACTCCCTCACCATGCCGATGTCATTGAAGGTGCTCTTAAATCCCATCTTGAATATGCTTGACTCGCGAGGGGCTACAGTTGAATCTGCTGACCAGTCGAAGAAGGTCTGGGATGAACTCGATCCAGAGGGATTGGACAGCGACCGCCACGCGACATTAATAGTGATTCTCTGGACACTACAGAGCAGTGCTGGTGTTGCCAAACATGCGCCAAGGTTGGTGGATGCTTCTCTTAGTTTTGTTGTTATCTATGGCGGCTGGTAGTGGGTGGAGCTGTAGGTGGAGCGGGTCCCCAAGATAAGAGGAAGGGGTAGATGCACCGTTCCTACGGAACAGGTTTCTAGGCTATAAAACTGGGCGATCGGAACATCCGAACGGCGTGAACTTGACATCCGAATTCTTCGATATTTGTCTACGACTCTCGTCGACTGTTCGGCAGTGTCCCTAGGCCGGGGTCGCTTAGATATCGATATTGTTGATTGGCGGGCCGTCAGCTTATCGTTGTATCCACCGAACCCTCTTGGTCGCCTCTCAAGCCATCGATTATCCGTGCTAACAGCCCTTGACCTACCGCCTTGACGGACGGGGCAACGGGCCGCAACAGGAGTATGGATTCCATCCAGCAAGGCCAAGGGCGCAAGTACAAGTCACGGAGTCAACCGCCGTAAGTTTCTGCTTGATCCATGGAGCCCTGGATTCTGCTTGTATAATTCAAGCACAGACTAATGTGCTGTGAAGCTGTGATGCATGTCGAAAGCGCAGGATCGGTTGTATCAAGCTTCCTGGGACTGTCAACTGTAGCCTTTGCCAGGTCCGTCGAGTTGGCTGTACCTATAACTCTATACCAAAACCCAAACGCGGTCGGTCACCAAGCAAAAGATATCCCGCGCCAGTAGTTCCCCCCCAAAAGAACTCCAGGCCATTGATTACGAGCCAATCCAACCAAGACACAACACTTGGAAGTCCAGGTACCACAGCCACAGCATTAACGGAACCGACTAGATGGGTCACGCAGTTTATTGGCCTCAGCGGAGATCAGGATCCCTTCGTTCTGCGACACTGTGCTTTTGACGCAAATTGCTATAGACAAGTCGACTGGGCTTGTCTTCGAGTCAACGAGGATGGCGAGGCTCCAGCACATTTCACTGTAAGTCTCCATGTACTCGGTCTGACCGGATTCATCCGTCCAATCAGCACTCCCATCGTCATGGATGTACCGCTGAGTCAACGCTTCAGGTTGTACCTGATAGTCATTTAGATGCACGGCCGTCATACTATCCTATCCTGGATGTTCAGGCTATCATCAAAGAGAACGACAGTCGCATGCTATTGGCTTACTTGAACGTGGTGCATCCTTCTTTTCCATTGCTAGACTCGCTACCGCTTCCGCAGCAAGAACAGCGAAATCCGGTCCTCCTTGCTGCCATGTGTGTCATGGCAGCACCATTTGCCACAGAATCAACCGACACACTGCGGAAAACATTAAGCTATTATGCGGCTCAAGCCATTCAAATAGAACGTCGACATCCCAAAATAGAAATAGTTGAGGCTGCCCTAATCTTTATTCAGCGACATGCCATTATTCACAGAGCTCCGACTACTCCAGGCTTGTGGGCCGAAATTGGATCCATTGTTGGCATGTGTCATGAGCTGGGTCTCAATGTTAATCCATCCTCTTGGAATATCACAAGTAAACACAGAAATCGCCGGGTTCGACTCTGGTGGGCCGTGTACATTTTCGACAAGTTCTGCTCGTTCAACTTGGGTCGACCTTCATACATTAACGAGGACAATGCCAGCGTGCCGCTACTTTCATTGGAACATTTTGATCAACATGACCCATTTGTACCACAGACCTCGCGCCAGCATTTCATCGCTCTTGCTGTTCTTGCAGTCATCTTATCTAGGCTGCTGTCAACATTTTACTCCCTATCATCTGTTGAGAAATTGCGCCATACAACACCTCAGGATATCCATAAACTTTTTGTGTCTTTTCAGAAGCAACTACTAGACTTCAAAGTTGAGCACATTGATGCTCTACATGCAACAGAAGAGGTAATTGACTCCAGAGGTGAGCTCATTTGACCTTCCAGGGGGATAAACGAGAGCTACTAAGTTGTCTATCCTAGGAACTGTCATTCTTGCATTTCATGCCGTTGAAATTGCTCTTTGCAGAGCCGCCCTTCGAAATCTCTTTCCTCACAGCCCAATGTATTGTTCTGCTGTAAGGCTCTACGCGAAGAGTGCCGTAGAGTCTGTGGTTAGCTTGCTTGGAAGACTGCAACTCAATCAATTACGTGCATACTGGTGGACCCGTACGTCCTTTTTGCCCAGCCTCACAGAGAGAAGAGATGTCCGAATTACACTAACATGAAGTAGCAATCTCTAACACTCATTTCTCTTTGACGGGAAGTTTCATGTTTTTTCTATTATTGACTTCAACGGAAGATAACGATATTGAATACTGGTCTTCGCAAATCAAGGACTACAAACGCTTGCTTGAATTACAAAGCTTTGGATTCAATGTTACTAAGCTAGCTTCGACCAGGATGTCGCTGCTGTGTTCTGTCAACGAAGAGAGTCTTGCGCATAGCCCCTCGAGCATAACTGATTATTCTTCTTCAGAAAGTGCATCTGGATTCTTCGAAGGGGATCTTATGGTAGAGCTAGGTGACAGCATGTCATAGAAGGAGATATTAGAGGAAGCCATAAGCACGAAATACGTATAGGCAAGCTTTAAGTTACGGCTCATAAATGGTTCTCCAATCATGAGCATTCTCCCATGCTGCCGCTACTTGCATGGCCAATAGATCTTCATAATGCCGACCAACAAGTTGCATCCCGACTGGAAAATTAACACACGGGGCTTCTTTAGGACTAGCAAATCCAACTGGAATGGAAATTGCAGGATGGCCTGAGAAATTGAATGTGCTGTGTTTGAAGTGTACCCTAGGGTTCTGGAAACCCTCGCCAAAGGACCCATCTGTTCTGTTGTAAGAGCAGGTGGTAGAACAGGTACTGTGGGCATCACAAGTAAGTGGTATGTTGGGAGACCTTCCGTCATATTGATCCTGCAAAATAGGAGGAATTAGGAGAGATGTCCACAACAGTCTCGGAAAGGTGGCTCACACTTAGCTTCCACAGCAAGTTTTGTGACCGTGCATGAATCATTGGACCGTATATTTGGTCAAGATAGAGCCCTCGAAGATAAAACCCTTTACCATACGGACTCAATGCATTAAATGAGCCTTGAGTAAGCTGCTTTCCTGACTTCAGGATACGGTCTGCCATCATCAGCTGCTTCCGCCCCGTCATGTCAGATAGCATGCCTTGTCTGGTTCCGGCAAATGCAAGGGCGCACATCCATGCAGATGGAACAACTGGATCACCATGCATTGGGATCGAGCACTCTTCCACTTCAGCGCCGAGAGCCTTGAAGCTCTCTGCTGCAAGTCTGACGAGTTTCGTGACTTTCGGGTCTTGGGCTTGAGAAAAAATGCCTCTTTCAGTACGCCAATTCTTTTCCCCTTCAAGGAGGCTTCTTTTGGAAGGTCCAAGAAGCCTTTAACGCCCTGCAAAAAGTTGAAGGATCCTGGCGCAAGCGTTCGTGGAGTGCGGTCATCAATGCCGTCATATCCGGCCAAAACATCCAACATCAGAGCACAATCCGGGACGTTTTGCGTCATTGGGCCAAACAGTAGCTTCCAAACTGATGATGCCAGTGTAAGGTACCAATCCCCAAGTCGACTTCAGCCCAACAATTCCCGAAAAGGATGCTGGACAGCGGATCGGGCCTCCTTGGTCACATCCTACGGACATGTCCACCTCTCCAGTACCAACTAGTCGACCGCTTCCACTACTAGATCCACCACAACTATAGCCATGAGCATATGGGTTATGGCATAGACCTGTTAACGATGTGTCAGAATTTACTCCCATGCAGCCATTCTCGTATGTAGCCTTTCCCTTGATTATAGCCTCAGCATCCAAAAGTCTCGTTACAACGGTAGCGTCAATGGCTGGGGTCCACTCCATCGCTGCGGTTCCATTTGTGCAGCGAACGCCGGCCAAAGCAATATTGTCCTTGAGCGCGACAGTTTTGTCTTTCAGTAAGCTGTTTTTTTTTTTTTTTGGTTTTGTACATATGACGGTAGCCTGCATAGTGCTCAGTCATCATAACCGTTGTGAACGATCTCACCAGAAGTGATAGAGAGAAGCTTACCTTCGTGGCCCAGCCGCCCTCGTTTACATCATGAATGTCCTCATGTGGGTACAGTTCATAGTCTGCCCCTGGAAAATAATCTTGACTTGATGGTAAGCTATTTGTGCTCTTCGATACTGCCTATTCTAAGTTTTGCCATCATGTTCAATAACCTGTTTGGCTGCGGAATCAATTGCGGTCACCAATACACGCCAATCTTCGCGTTCATGTTCCGGAATAGCGATATTTGAAGTGGTCATCAGAGATGCCAGCTCAGCTGATGAAATGAGATTATTTCTAACTTAAAACATTAATTGCCGCACTGACTGTTCATTGGATATGGACACTCACGCGGTGGGGATGTTGACAACTGACATTGTGCATCGAGCGGTACAGGTATTGAAAGAACGAACCAACCAACAATATCTATCAAGATCAGGCTTTCGAATCCTGAGTAATGTTGGCCGTTTCCAGTATCACTTGCACCTACGTTAAGAATCCCCACCTATGCAGCAATGATTTCCAGTATCAGCCCAACGAGCTTGGCCCGCGGCCAATTATTGACTCCACTAGACATGGTTTGGCCTGCAAATGTTCAACGTCCGGCAGGAACCATTCGCTACTTCTACTGTCGTGTTAATCGCCCGCGGGCGCCGATAATCAAGCTTGCACCAGACTTCAACACAACGTAATGTTCCAGTTTTCTCGTATATCAAGACAGAAAGTGGACCATATAGCCCTCAAGAGGCAGGAAATCTAAAGACAATCCTATACTCTTCACCAAATATGTAATGTAACCTAAATTGGTCAAAAGCCATGAGTCGAGCATCGTGGGAACAGAAGGCGGCCGCTCGCCGGAAAGACCTCGCTGCTTCGATTCCAGACGAATGGAAAGTCACATTCCCTTCCCCAAAAGTGCTGCCTGATGTTTCCCAGCATGCATCCATCCGTACCCTACTCACGCCTGAGGAGATTAGCATCACAGAACTCAACACTGGAGACTTGATAAGACAGTTGCAGACGGCAAAGTTAAGCTCTCTAGTGGTGGTCATCGCGTTTTGCAAACGTGCTACACTCGCACACCAAGCCTTGAACTGTGCAACGGAGCTGCTTTTCGATGAGGCACTAAGAACTGCGAAAGATCACGATGAATATCTCAAAACCACTGGCAAGACAAAGGGACCGCTTCACGGCTTACCAATTTCCGTGAAGGACGTGTTCGATCTCAAAGGACACCTCAATAGCTCTGGCTTTGTTTATCGCGTTGAGGAAATTGTCCAGAATGATGCCCTTATTGTCGCAATCATGAAGGAGGCTGGCGCTATTCCTTTCATCAAGACCAATGTCTCCCAAGGGTGCCTCCTGGTAGAGTCCACAAATAACATTTACGGGACGGTCATGAATCCATGGAATCGAAACCTGAGTGCCGGTGGAAGCTCGGGTGGGGAGGGAGCTATTGTCGCTTTTCGTGGGTCTCCAATGGGTCTCGGAACCGATGGTGGTGGATCTCTACGGCTCCCAGCTTCATGGAACGGGGTGTATACTTTGAAGCCAACGTCTGCACGGATTCCCGGGTTTGGTAGGGGTTCTGGATACTCTGACAGCGGTGCTGCAGGATATGGCCCAATAACCAACGATTTGGATAGCATCGCCCTATTCTGCGAGACAGTCTTGGCAAGTCAGCCTTGGTTGAAGACACCCCGGGTCATTCCTATGCCATGGGATCCGGCCGTAAAAGCACCAACCAAAATCAAGCTTGGCTTGCTCCTTGATGACGGGATCGTTCACCTATCACCCCCGGTTCTTCGGTGTTTGAAGGAGTCAGCGGAGATTCTCCGTGCTGCAGGTCATGAAGTTATCGAGCTTGGGCCAGAATGGGCCGAACTACATCGACGGGGTGCAGAAATTGTGTTTCGAATTTACACACAGGAAGGCGGGATTGGTATCCGAGAGTCCTTGGAGAAGTCGGGAGAGCCCCTTGTTCCTCGTGTATGCACTGGGTGGTCAGAGGAACCCCTGTCGCCGATGGGAATTTGGCTTAACCATCGAGCTCGATGGGCGCTGCGTACTCAATATCTCGAAGCATTTCAGGCTCTTGGGCTAGATGCAATCATCAGCGCCCCGATGCCTCACCCAGCTCCTCCTCATGGAGAGTATATTACCAGTGCCATCTCTGCTATGTATAATTGTCTTGACTGGCCTTGTACCACTATTCCACACGGGCGGGTTGATCTCGTGAAGGACCAAGCACCCAAGAAGTGGTATGAGGAAGAACCCTATCCTCCAATACCCAACTTTCCATACGATCGATACGATAAAGATATGAAGAGTTTGTGTATGTAATTTGTCCCCACGATTCACTGTATGCTAACTCTTGTCACAGACACGGGGCCTGAGGTTTTCGAAAACGCACCCCTAGGATTGCAAATTGCGACATTGCCTTACCAGGAGGAATTTTGTTTGGCAGTTTCCAAAGTTATTGATCAGGCTATTAACAACGAGGCACACTCGGAGGCCATTCAAAGCAACGGAATGTGATTCAGATCTAGGTAGTCGGTCGCATGTGTAAACAAGAACAATGAATGGTCAGGTTTTGAAATCGCCCAAGCCTGTGATATTTAAGGGTCAAGGAAATGACAGAACGCGCCTATGACTCGTGCTGACCCTTCTCCGTGTCCATCTCCGTGTTGTGGCATATAAGATCTGCTGAGTTTTCTCACTAGCTGAATGCAGAGCTACATTCATTATTGCAGGATTCTCAACTCTAGATTCTGTGTTCGGGATGCCCGTCCTGTGTCCCTGGCCGAATTCTTTCATTTGTCAAAATTTCTCTCGCTTGTCTATGGTACAGAAGTCCAGCATTGTGCTCGGCTCAACCGTATCGTGATTGGCTTCGACCCCTCGCATCCCCTCCTTCGCCAAGCTGTAGTCGAATCAAAAGTTAAGACTTTATTGGAGGTAACAACGTGGGATGCTTCTGACAGCTGCCCGAATTGTGACTGGTGGGAGTGACCTATCTGCATAGGTCCGATTGAGCCGAGAAAGTGCATGGTTACATTGACGCAGCTTGTTATAGACCCTAAAATCCCTTTGAGTTGTGTTTCTATCCTTGCCTTGCGTTCTCTAACTCTACTGTGATGAACCTGAAAATACGTCAACATGTCCAGTGACAACAATACCAACCAAGAGATTGTAATTTGAATGGTGAATCTCGATCTGTTGGCATTGATATTGATCACTTTTCCAGGCTCCCGACAATTTCGGCCACGATGATGATTCTGCTGTTGGCGTAGTGCGTGGAGCTAGCAATTGTGTACAAGAATAAGCTAACGTCATGATTACCAGTCTATCAACAACACCTCCTTAACGTCCTTACGATCTAGTGTACTAGCATTTCATGAAGAGAATGGAAGGACATACCATGCTTTGAGTGCCGGAAGTAAGAGTTTCTTCGACTTTGAGCAGGTAACTTATTAACATGAGTAGAGTACTTCATTCCAAACGACGAGGTATGTGATCGCTGAAACAGTTCAGCATTTTGCTCATCTCGAGGCAGGAGGAAAGAGATCGTTTAGGTATGTGGCTTTTCGTATCAGAATCGCTACCTCCCTTGTGCCGAGATGAAGTTGACGTACAGTCGCGGTTTGAGAAGTGTTTTCTAACATCTTAATAGACATACATCATCATCTTATGCTGCTAACTCTAGATGATAAACTCGCTCTTTGTCCCAAGAATGACACTGCAAGAAGAGTTTTGGATCTCGGCACTGGTACAGGTAAGGCAAGATGGACTGTGTGACTACCTGAGTTCCTCTGACCGGTTATGATACCTAAGGCATCTGGGCTATTGATTACGGTAAGACCTTTCTTCAATGGCCATGTGCAAACAAATGCTTACAACATGCCAGCGGATGCGCACCCTGAAGCAGAGGTGAATCATCTAACATCTCAAACCCATCGAAATCATACTAAGACATATTAGGTCATTGGAGTAGACCTCAGCCCTATCCAGCCCAGTTTGTTCGTCTTGGTCTCGTAGAGTGCAAGGTCCTAATTGGAACTAACAAAGCGTAGTATACCACCAAATGTACAATTTGAGGTCGACGACCTTGAAAAAGATTGGACTTGGCGTGATAAGTTTGATTTCATCTACGCACGTTCACTAGGAGGTTCATTTGCGGATCATCAAGCCCTAATACAGAAGTGCTTCGAGTCAGTGATATCTTTAGTACTCTGTTAAACACGCTAATATTTCCGAAGCAATCTAGAGCCTGGCGGCTATCTTGAAATGTGGGATATCGGGCTCCCAGTTACCTCTGATGACGGAACTCTGACTGAGGAGCATGCTCTAACGAAGATGAGTCACCTGACAGTCGAAGCCGCAGCGAATTTAGGAAGGCCTATTGATCAAACGGAGGGTTACAAAGAGATGTTTGTCAAAACAGGCTTTGATGATATCCACCAGCATATGTTCAAATGGCCGAGCAACCAGTGGCCCAAGGACAAGAAATATAAGACGCTAGGGCTGTGGAATCTAGCAAACATTGACAGTGGTCTTGAGGGCCTGACGTTGTTTCTATTTACCAGAGGCCTCGGAATGACCAAAGAGGAATGCCTGGTTTACTGCGCTGAAGCAAGAAAGGAAGTCCGAGATCCGAAAATCCATGCATACTGGCCCATGTAAGTTACACTATCTGGACTAAAGCGGCCATGTGAATCATTGACCAGATCTAGGTACGTTTGCTACGGGAGAAAGCCAGATGTAAAAGGCGGAACTTCTGCATGATCAGATATGGGATAGCGATGGTTTAAGAAACCTATCAATACGTATCGGGGAAGGCGCCATGAGATGATGCAATACAAGTGCGAGGTGAAATGCGAACTTTGGGAGAGGCGATTAGTAACTCGTAGCCTCTTAAAACCCATTTTCAATCTGTTGATGAAGATAAGTAACACTTTGACGAGGCTAGCCCTTTCCTTTGAACTTCTCAAGGATCGCGCGCGCTCCAACAAACTCAAACTCGTCCATCGTTTCTGCCCATATAGAATCTATGATTGCTTGGCCTTCCGGAAGGTAAACCAACTGAGTGAATCTAGAGTATGAAGTTTAGGACTTGTCAGAATGAATATACCTGTGGCGCAACTTACGGGTGAATCTCCCAGTCCATGCAGAAGCTCCCATGAGACTCTTTACCCTTCACGACGGCAGCATCAACATATGTCCATGCTCCATCTTCAGGCTTGCGACCGGTCAGGGACTTGTAGACGTCAAGAAAGACGCCGGCACCACCGCTAATGTCTCTGTGCAGACCTGATCCCTTACACATACCCGGCTCGACGAGGTTGACAATGACGTCGTCTGCGTTGAGATATTCAAGCATTCGAACAAAGAACAAGTGACCAAGCATCTTGGAAGTCCAATATCTCTCGACTGGATCCCATGCTTGAACTTTGGTATTGTCAAACGACGCGAGTAGTGGCCGCTTGTCGCGATTCGGAAATTTCGCCCAAAGAGCAACTCCGGAACTGACTATCGTGAGTCGACCGGGATGTCCAGAAGGCGCTTTTGTTTTTGAGATTGGGAGCATTAAAATTGCCAGCAGGAACGTCGAAAGATAGTTCACCTGCATGACTCTTTCATGGCCAGTGGAGCAGAGTCCAAATTCTGGAAGAATGACACCGGCATTCAGGATTGTGATATCGAGCCGCGGAAGATTGGTTTCTGCCCGTCGGCAAAAGTCCTGGATAGACGGGTACGAAGTCATTTCAAGGGGCCAGACGTCAATCTTGGCAGAAGGGTAATCGACGCGTAGCTTTTTGGCAATGGACTCGCCTTTTTCTAGTGATCGCACCGCCAGGATAAGGCATGACAGCTGTAACGATAGCAGATGGCGAGAGCAATGATATCCCAACCCAGAGCTCCCGCCAGTGACAATTGCCACTTTTCCGGATAGATTGGTATCTGCTGGTGCGTGGCGAGGCTTAGTCCGAAACTGTGATTTGATGAAAGACCGCCAGAGACTTGTGGTCGCCTCATGGCTCAGTTGCATCGATTTAGAGGTCATGATGACGACGGCTGCCTTCTATCGTGTAATACGAAAAGGACTACTACTTTTTAAAAGTAGTATGTGAGAGGAGCAAGCCGTCTTGTCAGCTGTATAAATACTGTATTGTTCTAGGAGCTGGTCTTAGGAGGAGAAACCGGAACTTGGTATATATATATGGATCCTACAAGTCTTTTGCCTTGTCTTGTCCGGCACTTACTGGAAATGGATGCATATTGAAATGCTTGGCATTGTAGAGCCGCAAGCATACAGATCTTGATAGCATTGACTAATTGTCCTGTGCTCTGGTGCCTCTCGTCAAGCCAATGATCTTGTTGTTCGACTGACTCGGGGAACCCCCACAAAGTCCCACCGCCATACGCTGTTCCGAGTTAGGAAACCAATTGAAATCTTGGCATTGGTCTGTGGCGCACACGCTAACTCATCGTAGCGAGACTCGTGTCATTGTGCCAATTCAAACACTTCGGGGCCCGGAATGCGAAATGTTTTGCAAACTCTCCCTTCAATTTCGGTTCGGGACGAGGATGACGCTATTAACGCACATCCTTCGTTTGTTATTCCCAGCCAGCAACATGTGACGTGTAACATGGCCTGCCCAGATTTTGGATCGCCTGGAATGCCGAAAAGAGAGAGAGCTCTTGGCCTTGGCCTTGGCGCGCCAGCTCCAACTCCTCGTCTCGGCCCTGACGCTTTTATCATTGCCACCGGACGAGACAGCATCACCCCCGATGCCCAAGCCAGGAAATTCATCCGCCATCATGTCATGAAAGGAAAGAATAAGGTCAAGAAGAACAAAAAGTCGAGAATCAATGTGCAGCAACAATCTGCCGCATATGGGTCGTGGATAAGTTCTGAAGGCGGCCACGCTGACAAGACGCAGCTCGTTGCGACAGGTCCGTGGCAAGCAACTCTGATCCCTTCGCCGGAGTTCCGGTTGGATGGTTCGGACAGCCCTTTTATGGGATGTGCGGTCGAGATGGGACCGCAAACGCTGCAGATCGTCCACAATTGTAAGGATCAAGTACTTTTTGCCACTTACAACGCCGAAAATGCGTTAAGTCTCCCATGTTTAGCTTCTCGTTACCTTTCGCTACAGATGCTAACGCAGCATATGATAACAGTTATTACTGTTATGAAGAAAGCGATGTATCCCATCGATCACTGTCTAGATTTGAGCAAAGAGGATGATCGCTGGTTCGACGACTTGAAACAAGATCCCGCATACAGTCATACCATGCTGTACATTTCCCAGGCTTATTTCGACCTCTCCAGAAGTCAAATATTTGGGACTTCGGCCATTGCTCGCATGAATGATGCCATAGTCATGCTACGAAAAAAGCTGGCAGAGGCGAATTTGATAGTTACCGACTCTATTGTTCTCACAGTCCTGGCGTTAGCTATGATGTCGCAAACTGTTGACGATGTTGAAACTACGGACAAGCACATGCATGGTCTTCATCAATTAATTGAGATCCGGGGCGGCTTGAAGAGTCTCGACCATAAGCGTTTATTGCAGGTGAAATGTTGCAGGTCTGTATTCCGTTATCCCGTGCAGTCGACTTCCATTGACGTATCTTGCCCATAGAATCGATTTAGGATTTGCCCTTAAGACTGGTAATAGGCCCTTGTTCTTTTCCAACAATGACATCTCATGGAAGACATTCCTCTTGAATTCTCGAAAGATGCCCGCAAAACCTGCAGTGCATGCGGTATACGGAGGTCATGGTATTCAAGATATCAGATTGGTCAACGTTTGGCTCGATTTTCACGAGCTGGCAACGGCATTGAACCTTGCCCACCAAACACAGCGCAAACTCTTGCCAGATATTTTCCAAGAGGCACTGATTTCGATACAATATCGATTGCAGCATCTAGCATACGATGCTCGTGAAAGGCATGAAGTACTGCGGCTCGCCCTACTTGCTCTTTCAACAACAATCTTCCATGACACGAATGGGGTCAAATTCATTTTGCACTATCGGCCCTTGGCTGAGCGGTTTAAGACAGCTCTCCTATCATTGGTGCAGCACAGTAATGAAGAGTTGCCAGCATTTATCCTCTGGTTGGCATATGTTGGGAGGATATCAGTGCTCAATCCGCCAGCCCACTACCACTGGCTGAAGGATTGCGTTATCAAACAGACCTTGGCATTGAATTTAAGATCTTGGGCTGAGACTAGACACGTTCTGAAGACCTTTATATGGATAGATATGGTCAACGATCAAGCTGGGGAGCGTGTTTTCGACGTTGAGCATACCTCTAGCAACACACGAACCATGAATTGGTCAACTTCAAGACCGAGTACACGCAGTTAGCATGGGGAATGCGACGGTTTCATACGTTCAGAACATAGCGGAGCTGTGTTGATATTGTTATCTCCAGGAAGAAAAAGTGTCAACAAGAAATGCTACCCATCAATATTATACAGTGAGCCATTAGACTGAAAGCCAGCTAGGAATATTGGACGAGGCATGATATCTAGTCTGAAGACCATTTTGACGGCATCTACACATTAAAACATACGGAATCCGGCAACGTCAAAGGTGGTGCAGCATGTTTGGCTCCTTAATTGGGCTTGATCGACATTTAGCGCTTCCCAAGACCTCAATTGGGCAAAATTTCATGACTGCGTTTCTCGTCGCCAAGCTGAAGACAGGGGTTTGATGAACTTTTCAGCTCCCCTGAACTCCTCGTAGCGTAGCGATTCTGCTAGAGCGACTGCTAGAAATCGATAGTAACAACCCAAACTCGCCATTAGAAGGTTACGAAAAAGTTCGAACCCACTCTTGCTTGATTGAGTCTCCTGGGTGATCGAAGACTGAAGGAACTGAATTAAAATGGCCTTCACCGCATTCCCGGAGAGAATATTGCAAGAGCTCCGAGAAGTGTACCTCGTCCTCCATCAATTGCAACGTTTTGCGGCTTTTAACAGGTGTGCTGATCTCGCTTCATCATGGCGCGTCTCTCAGGCTGCATCGCGACTCTTGCATTTGCTCTCCAAGCCGTTGGAAGTGCAGTCTCGGAATCGTCGACTGCGTTGCTTCACGGTCGTGGCGTTTGCCCAATCTCAACATGCCACCAACTAGCACCTCGGCCGCCCAAGGATGATCCATGGTATATGACCCCGCCAACAGAACTCGATGCTGCGGCACCAGGGAGCATCGTGCGGATTCGAAAGGCGCCGGGAAACTTGACGGCCGCTGTCACTAACAGCTCTGAGGCTTTCAATATTCTCTACCGCACTACAGATAGTCGTTACGAGCCCACCTGGGCAGTCGCAACACTCTTCGTGCCTATCGCCCCGGCGACAGCTTCAATATTACTCTCTTATCAGATTGCATACGATTCAGTTGACGTCAATGGGAGTCCTTCCTACACCCTCTACACCGGCAGCGAGCAGCCCGATATTGAATGGGCACTGGGCCGCGGACGGCATGTACTAACAGGCGACTATGAAGGTCCCCTGGCCTCTTTCACTGCTGGTGTTATGTCCGGTCATGCTGTACTAGATGGTGTTCGGGCTGTACTCTCCTCTGATTGCAAGGGGGCGTTGGGGTTCTCAGATTCAGTTCGGTATGCCTTGTGGGGATACTCAGGAGGTGCGTTGGCGAGCGAATGGGCCACTGAGCTCCAAGTTCAGTATGCCCCAGAGCTATCATTCAGTGCAGCTGCTCTTGGTGGATTGACGCCAAACGTCACGAACATCCTCAGTCTCGTCGATGATACAGTTAGTGCGTCTTTGATTCCTGGCTGGTTACTGGGTGTGACCAGCCAGTTCCCCGATGCGCGGGAGTATCTCATCAGTGTGCTCAAGAAGGATGGTCCCTACAATGCCAGCACCTTCCTCGGGTTTGCTGACTCAACTTCGTCTGCCGCCACTTTTGTTAACCAGGAAATGGGCAAATATTTTGTGCATGGGCTTGCAGATCTAGAGGCACCTCTAATCAAGCGCGTAACGTATAGTGACGGCATAATGGGCTACCACGGCGTTCCTCAGATGCCTGTCTATGCTTACAAGGCTATACATGACGAGCTAAGTGCCGGTGTCGATACAGACAAGCTGATTGAGAGGTATTGCGAGGTGGGCGCCTCAATTTACTATACGAGGAATACTGTAGGCGATCATGTTGGCGAGTACGTTGCTGGTGACCCGAGAGCACGGGCGTGGCTGGTCTCGGTCATGGAGCAAGGACACGTCGAGGTTGGATGTCGGATCGAGACCATTACTGATCCAGCTTCTTAGGAAGGTCTTGATGAACAGAACTTACTGCTGCTTATATGTCGTTGTTCGCCATTTTTCCATGAAAGGTTAAATCAAACGTGATGCGTTACACGGTAATGTTACGATCTCTAAATCCCCCTTAGCTCCAGATATTTGAAGATTATAGTCCAACCACGACATTTCCATCCGATTCGCTATATCCTTACGTACCTGGACAAGAGGTCTTCCAACTTTGTCTGCTGTCCACCCAAGAGCCGCCGTGAAAGTGGCCAGACTCAATCCAGACAAGCCACCGCTGATGTTTGCCCGCGGCCACATTCCTAGAGACTATGTCAGCGAGTGCATTGTCAGATCTTGGGCAGTCAAAAGCAATAAACATTATGGTGTGCGCCTACGAGTTGAACTCCGTCAGCTGCGAGACGGTGGGAGAAACCTCACTTCTGCAACCAATATGCATCAACTTGCCATTATTGGCGCTTGACAGGGTTGAAAAGAACGCGTAGCCTGCGGGTCTAGTATAACCGTTCTTGGGGGACGGGCACAAAGCATCCGCGGTGATAAGTGATTGGGCAGTGCCCCGGATGCCATATCCTGGTTGGGGTGCCTGAACCCGGTCGATGGGGCAAAACTTGGGGGAGCTGAAATGATCAGTAACTTTTTGACCGCCGCAGCCATGATAAGCTCATTGCACCTCCTATACCATCTACACTTGAGCCTCCTTCTATTCTAACTCATATAAGTAGTTCCTTTATTGAAAACTGTTGCTACTCGATTAGTATTGCCCCTACCATGATCAGCTCAATAATGTGTCCCGGGCTGGATCCCTGAACAGCTACAATATGGGGACGATGGATGGTTTGGGGGGACCCCTAGTATAAAACAATAGGCGCGGGATGTGCCTAGCTCTCGCCACTTTTTGATGCACTAGACGGGTACTTCGTCGTGGGGTGTCTATCTGTTGGAGAAAGAAACGCCAGCCCTTATCTTCAACTTTCTTCTCCAACGCTCATCGCACTTCTTCGCTTCGCTGTGAACACGGCTAGACCACCCTTGGCGTACAATGATGGCGATCTTTGAATGGGGCAGAAATCATTTGAAACAAAGTAATGCAGTCCTGTTATCAAGTGCTGTAATCGTTTGCTTTCTCCTGTTTCGAGCAGCCATTACTGTTCGGCAATTCTACCGGCTTCGGCACATCAAGGGCCCTGCAATCGCGGGTTTCTCCAAGTTGTGGTTAGTCAGCAAGGTCGCTGGTGATCGAGCACATCTGGATTACTATGACGTCTGTCAGAAGTATGGTAAGTGCTGGGCGTCCGCACTCAAAGCATCGTCGTCTTACTGTCGGACCTTCCAGGACCAATCGCTCGGGTTAGCCCCGTGGATGTAGTGACGAGTGATCCCGACCTAGTGAAACATTATCTCAGCGTGCGTGGAGGATATCGACGGTCAGATTGGTATCATGGCATGCGCTTCGACCCAAGCAAGGACAACTGTCTATCGACCCGAGATGAAGATCGGCATGCCGAATTGAGATCCAAGATGGCGATGGGTTACTCGGGTCGTGAAGTAGAAGGCCTGGAGCGGAAGATTGATGATATCGTCTTGACCTTAATCCACCTACTCGAGACCAAGTACCTCACCAAGCCATTTGATCTCGCACGAAAGGCACAATATTTTACTCTGGACGCAATCTCCACTGTCGCATATGGCCAGCCCTTTGGGTTTATCACTACTGATAGCGATTGTTACGACTACATTAAGATGACTGAGGAAACGGTGCCAACAATTATGGTAACAACGGTACTCCCATGGCTCCTTGAAATGCTCAAATCACCAATCTTCAAAAGTCTATTGCCATCCGAGAAGGATCGTATAGGCTTTGGAAAAGTGATGGGTATCGCAAAGAAGAAAGCCTCAGAGCGCTTTGGAGAAGACCGAAAGGTTCAGAAGGACATGTTGGGATCATTCGTCGCTCATGGTCTCACAGAGGAGGAAGCAGGCTCCGAGATTCTACTCCAAATCATAGCTGGTTCCGATACTACAGCGACAGCAATCCGAGCAACAATGTTGCATGTTCTTACCAATACGCGTGTCATCAGTACTCTCCGGGAAGAGATCACCGCGACAAGACCATCATGGCCGGTCATCGCAGATGCTGAAGCACGGACCATGCCTTATTTACAGGCTATCATAAAAGAGGGCCTTCGCATTTTCCCTCCCGTTGCAGGTCTCATGTCGAAAGATGTTCCCAAGGGTGGTGATACATACAAGGGTATTTACTTTCCTGAAGGGACGAAGCTCGGCTACTGTGCCTGGGGCATTTTTAGACGACCCGATATTTGGGGCGCTGATGCAGCCGAATTCAGACCAGAAAGGTGGTTGGAAGCGAACGCAAATAAATTAAGAGAGATGGACTCCGCCCTCGATGTTGTCTTCAGTTATGGGCGATGGCAGTGCCTTGGGAAGTCTGTCGCACAAATCGAATTGAACAAGATTTTTGTTGAGGTAAGTCTACCCTATAATGTTACTGCAGACAGCCGTCGCTCATCGTTCCCACAAGTTATTCCGCCGTTTCGATTTCGTGATTGTCGACCCAACATATCCATGGAAGTCAAGGTGTGCAGGTCTTTTTATGCAATCAGAGTTTTGGGTAAGAGCATATAAGCGAGGGACTTGAATGGGTCGTGAAAGCTAGGTCGTACCTATACTGAAAGTCAAGGTGAGGGATATCTCAGATAAGCTATCAAAGCCTCTTTACTTGCCTCAGACGTAAGCTTGGGCCGCAGAATGTGCCACTTCTCACGAGGAATACTCTCCAAGCAGGGTCCAAATGATCTAGCCATGGATAGTTTAAAGTTGTCATATTCCGCGTAAGGCTATTGATTCGCCAAGATCCACCTACTCGGGGGTCAATCATGTACGACATTTTCTCAAACAAGTCTCAGGTGTCGCTCGAGCCGTGTTCGGTTTTTTAAATAGGGCGTCGTTTCTTCACCGCTCCGAGCACTACTATGGCGAAGACTCAACTAGAAAGCAAAACAAGAGGTTGCGAGGTGGCAAGTATCAAGCCTCCAAGCCAAGCGGTCACGGCATGACACCCTCTGAGACAATGTATCAGTGGCGGTGCCGGGAGATGATAGACTTGCTGACTTGCTCTTGTATGGATATCGCGGCTGGCTGGGTGGAGGCTGGGTGTGGTGTCGCGGAACATGGCCTAGCATTAAGCAGAAACTGTGTCTTACAATATGTTCCGTTGAAAAGTGAGTTCTGAGTCTGGGCATTCCTTGTGTAGTACCAGCCAATCATATGAATGATCGCAAGTGTTTCGGACCGATAATATGCACTCACGATCAGTTCGATCCTAGAACATTCACCCATCAATCGTGTCCTCATCTGTAAGCTTGATATGCGGCCTAGAATTACCATATCAAGTGTATTTCGATAATTTCTGAAGTCACTGTTAATACTCCAATGCTTCAATGATAGGAAGGTCGATCACGACCACAATCGTACGACTTTATATGCCCTTGAGAGGGCCTCTTGGGAAGTTTCCATCCATAGATCGTTCCTATGACGCTCAAGCAGACATTGCCTAGCTTAGCCCAACGGTTTCCCCGCGAAAAGCCTTCATTCCGCCCTTCCGCTAGACTTGGTGAAACTAGCGGCAGTTGTGGGATCAAGATGATTGCTAGTGCCAAGTATGACGGGTTCAAGAGCCTCTCAGAGTGGCGAGATAGCATGTAACTAGCTCACAGTGAGACATATCCTAAACCACCGGTCAGAAGCACTATACCTGAAATAGGATATCAGCCCTTTTGAGGAGGCTGGTTCTGAATTGAAAAATCCCTACATATCCATACAAATCGCCGTTGAATTAAGTCGTGGTTATCTCTCTCAATTCAACGCAGAGCTACTTGCACCATCAAGATCTAGACACCAAAGACATTATGAAATCACTCCTTCACCAAATTATTATTCCTCTCGCCGTTGCTACGTTCTTCATCCATGTCTCGGCATCCAAAGCCGCGCTGAAGGGCACTTTAAAGTTCACAGGCTTGAAAAAGTTGGACAACTTGCTACCGGGAATAGTCAGTAGCGACGCTCCTGAGCTTGTATCCCTTCTAGCGACACGAGATATACCTGACCCATGGATTCTAAAAAGACAAGGAGGGCAGTGTCCTCCAGCATATCCGATATTGGTATGTTATTGGCTTTTATAGTTCACACAACGGAGACTAACACCAATATGGTAGTGCCCGGATGGTATTCACTGTACATCACAGGACCTTTCCGTTTGCTGTGAGGATGGTGTCCATGCATGTGGAACGGGAGGCTCCTGTTGCAATAACGGGTATGTAAAGAAGCCACTACCGTGTCGCATGTTAACTCTTACCTCACACATCATATAGAACACATTGCACGCCGGCCGGCGGTTTTTGCTGCGGCAATACTGCTTGCAACGCTGGGGACACTTGCTGTCCTATCGGTTGCGCTCCTGCTGGAAGTACCTGCTGCGGCTCTTCGTACTACTGCAACGAGGGCGAGTCGTGCTGCGGAGCAGGTTGTACATTTGTCGACTACACGTGTTGCGGAACAAATAACCAGTGCTCGCTAGACGAACAGTGCTGTGAGGGAGACCCAGGAGGTTGTGCACCTGTGGATGCGACTTGTTGCGGGCCTGAGTTCTACTGTGATAGTGGCACCTTGTGTTGCGTCGACGAAGATGGAGAGTACTATTGCACCTACGGTCCAACCTGCGATAGTTAATCTGCTCGAAACTAAGCTCTCTTCGAGAGTATTCAAAGTCCTTTCAATATCATAATATCAATATCCGACAGTGATACGCTACGTACAGATATTCGAAGTATTCCTCTTTTGATCAACTGCAGTGAGGAACACGATGCTGGCTCTGTGAGCCCTCACATTCCTTTATCTGAAGAAACGTCTCTCGCGGTGCATCTCCACCACCAAACTTCCAGTCTTTCCTGCAATCGGGTACATCTTTTGTTAATGCTTCACAT